TAGGTGTAGTGGATGGTCTAGGTGTAGTGCATGTGGAAGGTATATCTGTGGAAACCACTTTCAAAACGTAACGTGGTCTCTTTTTCTTTGCTATCGCCTTCCCCTTCCCTTTATCACTACCAGAGGGTGGGGGTCGAGGTGGGTCAGAACCTCCTGTGGACATATCTATACATAAAAAAATAAGATTATGAATAACTTATGATGTAAAAACTCATAAATTAAGGGACACTCAGTTAATAACATAATTCATAATAAATAAGGGTACAATATGTTTTTTTTACAAAATCAAAACATTTATGTTTCTAATTTTCTTGAAACATTAGGCTTCATCCTCATCATCGTCATCCTCATCCTCATCCTCATCGTCATCCTCTTCTTCTTCCTCTTCCTCTTCCTCTTCCAATTCTTCAGGATTAGCTTCATAGTCATGTAATCCAAATATGCTTTCCACTTCAATGACTTCATTGCCATGTAACATTTCATCTACTTGGTAAGGGGCATCCTCTTCACCACCATCAGAATCAATACAACCTCTTGGTTTTGTTTTGATTGCAACACACTAACCACGCTTGTCTATTCAAAATGATGGATATGGAACATAATACACTTGTCTTACATTATGTGCAAGGATAAATGGATCAAATGGTTCATATCTTAAACCCATTCGAATATCTACAATATTATATTTAGGATCCACTTTTGTACCTCTTCTTGATGGATCAAACCATTCACAATTAAAAAACCACAACTTTTTTGGGAGAATTTGAAGTATTGTACTCCAACTCATATATTTTCATAATTACTCCATAAAAATCATCTTCACCACTTTCTGTCAAACCCTTAACATAAACACTGCTATTTATTGTCTTTTTTCCCTTGCTCCATGCATTTGTATGAAATTTGTATCCATTCACAAAATATGTGTGCCATTCTTTAACGCATCGCATAGGGTGATTGGATAAATCCCTTAGGTCTTGATTCTTCACACTAAATGGCTCATTATGGATCTACAAATATAAAATGAACCAAATGTTACATTAATACCTATATACCATATTTAAAAGAGAATGGTAACATACATACTTGTTGCCTAAACCATGTAGGAAATTCTGCATGAATCCTAGCAGATGCTTCAGATTCACTTATTTGCTCTGATTGCCAGAATGAGTTGTCCAAATAGAAAATGCTAAAAGGTTACTTTAAGAATGTGACAAAGAATTTAATAATGAAATTGAAAAGATACGTGTTTTGAATGTACTCAAGGTATGATTTAACTTCTTGACAATTGATTAATACATGAACATGAGCTGACTTGAATTCAGCATCAGTTAACCAATGAGTCAACTCCCGCCCAGATGGACGACCAACTTGTCGGAATACTGATAACACTGCCAATTGTGTTTGACTTTGGAAATATATTTCATTTCTAGGTTGTGGTGGTGACAACATGAAGTTATTGAAATAATGAGAGCAAAAATATGTCGTCTCACGATGCAAGTAAGCTGCACAAATTGATCCTTCAACTTTAGCCTTATTTTTTACCCATCTTTTAGACTCCCCCATGAATCTATACAATTTAAGAAGCAAGATTATGATTGATCAAACTAATCAAAATAACATATAAAACACATATAGGACAATCATTTCATCACCTTTCAAATGGATACATCCACCTATATTGCACTGGTCCACCGAGCCAAGCTTCATATGGAAGATGAATAGGGAGATGTTCCATTGAATCAAAGAATGCAGGAGGAAATATTCTCTCCAACTTGCAAAGAATGATTGGAATATTTTCTTCCATCCTAATAAGCATTTCCCTCTTCAACGTTGTAGAACACAAATCTTTGAAGAAATGACTAATTTCAATAAGAGGATTCAAAATATGTACTGGTAACGCACTAAATGCAATAGGAAGTAAACATTTCATGAATACATGACAATCATGACTTTTCATGCCATGAATCCTCCCCTTTTCAGCATCAGCACATCTCGCCAAGTTGGAAGAATAACCATCGGGCATCCTAAGTTCTTTTAACCAACGACAAACTACCTTTTCTTGTTCAATAGTATACGTGTAATTTGCTTTAGGCTTTAACATTTTGTCATTAGCTTGTGTCTTTAACTCCAAGTTTGGATGCTTACAATACAAAGCAATATCCTTCCTCGCCTTCTCATTATCTTTTGTCTTTCCTTTTACATTCATCACAGTGTTGAATATGTTATCAAAAAAAAATTTCTCTATATGAATTACATCAAGATTGTGTCTCAACAAATTATCTTTCCAATATGGGAGATCCCAAAATATGCTTCGTTTTGTCCAATTATGCCTCTCTCTGTATCCTTCTATCCTTGTGATACCACACTCAGTTACTTTTGGTAAATCTTTTACTCTTCTCCAAACTTGTGTAGGTGTTAACCGAGGAGGTGACCCTTCTACTTCAACTTCTCCCTTTCGAAAGGCTTTAATATTTCTTCTAAATTGATGATCATTTGGTAAGAACCTTCAATGCGAATCAAACCAACAACTTTTACGACCATAATTTAATGTAAATGATTTTTTATGCTCCATGCAATGTGGGCAAGCCAATCTACCATGAGTCCCCCAACCAGATAACATCCCATAAGCGGGAAAATCATTAATTGTCCACATTAAAGCTGCCCTCATCATAAAATTTTGTTTCTTTGAAATATCGTATGTGAGAACACCATTCCACAATTTTTTCAAATCATCAATTAAAGGCTCTAAGTAAACATCAATAGAGGCCTTCGGATTGGATGGACCCGGAATTAGGCAAGTTAGAAACATGTATGGCTTGGTCATGCACATTTCAGGAGGAAGGTTGTATGGAGTAACAATGATAGGCCAACACGAATAAGGTGAAGATGAAGCTTGAATATATGGATTAAATCCATCAGAACATAACCCAAGTCTGACATTGCATGGATCAACAGCAAAAGTTGGATGTTTTCGATCAAAGTGTTTCCAAGCTTCACCATCTGATGGATGGCGTAATACATCGGAAGTTTTATTGTCATGGTGCCAAGTCATTTGCCCAGCAGTTTGCATTGATGCAAATATTCTTTGTAATCTAGGAATTATAGGCAAGTAAAACATGAACTTTACTGGAACTGGCTTTTTATGGGTTGTTCCACAACTTTTCTCATGATATCTTGGCTTTTGACAAAATTTACATTGAAGTAATGTAGCATCTTTTTTGCCATTGTCATTGTCATAAAAAAGCATACACCCACTCACACAACAATCAATCTTCTTCACTTCTAATCCCAACTTTGATACTAATCTCTTGGCATCGTAATAAGTTTTTGGTAAATTGTCTTTTATAGGTGTGACATCTAACAACATGCGTGTCATAAAGTCTAAGCATTGATCAGGAATATTCCAATTTGACTTGCACGCTAAAAGTCTAACACATATTGACAATTTTGAATCTGTTGCCCCCTCAAATAATGGTTTATTTGTCTCTACCAACAAATTATAAAACCTTTGAATTGCTTCATTTGGTGACTCTTCTATGTTAAGACAATTGGGTCCTTCAAATGATTGATGTTGCCAGAGAGAATTGTACATCATCTCTTGCATTGACATAAATTGGTCTTGTTCAGTCATGTGTACATCAATACATGAACCGCTAACACAATTATCATCTCTTTAACTTCAGGCACATGTTCTCCATGATCTGTCCAAATCCAATAATTTGGTTTGAACCCTTGCTTGTAAAGGTGAACTTTGACCATTTCATCCTTCAAAATTCTTGTACAATCGCATTTGGTGCATGGACATCGAATTCCCCCATCACGTTCGTAATACTCATATTGTCGAGCAAATCGGATAAACTCTTTAACCCCTATAACAAAAGACTCTTTCAAACCTCTTCTACCACTATAACATCTATCATACATCCAACCGCGACGGAAAGAAATATCATCCATGTTCTGTAATATTGAAAAGAATAAGATCAATTGAATGAATTGTACGAAAGAAATTGACCATTGAATTTTGATTAAACTATGCTCCAAGTAAATCGAACATTGATTAAACATTGGATTCAACATAATAATACTAAGCTACTTTTATGTTGTCAAATCCAATTTAACATTGGACTTTCAAGCAATTAGGCTTGAATAAAAAAGGAATCAGTGTACTAAAACATATTTGCAAATATATAAAAGGAAGAATCAACCAAGTTAAATCAAGAAATGTCAATATTCATGAACTCAACTCACCTCAACACAAATAAATCCCCTTTCAAAATCAGTATGGATAGTCCCTGCAGCTTGAGGAGCCTTTGTTTGGCGTTTGATTTGCCAACACTTAACCTACAAGAAGTATCGTGTACCAAAAACAATTATTAAAATTGAAAGACAACACATGTTGTGATATTAGATATGGAAAAACTATTGGTAAAATTGTTCAAGAGAATTGTTGTAGACATGCATGTGACGATATATAGTATTGTTGCTTAATGGTGAATGTCATCCATGTCTTTTCTTTTAGCAATCATCTCACACCAATTTTGAAAAGTGGGAACAAGTCACAAAACTAATATATTTTTTGGAATTGGAATAGTGCAAATTCTATAATGTAACATGCAAGTACAGTATGGTCAATGCATTAGCCAACCCAGTGGTGTGACTAACAAAGCGCATGTAGTTTAGTTGCATTGGAATATGTCTCATACTTGTAGTAGGCGCATGGAAATAATAAAACTACTAGTATTTTAAAAATATTATAACAAAACATATCTTGAAACAGATTCGTATCTTGGATAACCAGGGTTAGGTCTCATGTCATTATTCATCTGGTGAAAGATTTTTATGGCATTGAGTTAATGGAAAAGGTATGGTGGCTGACCACATATACACAGTGTTCAGCATCCAACAGAAACAGTATAGTCTCTGCAATGTCCTTCATATATACTTTATAGCAAACAAATCTCATGATAATAAAAAGTAACAATATACTTTTATCTAAAACCATGAAGAGGTCTATCCCTAGAATAGAAGGTAAATCTGAAAATTTATTTAAAATCAAGAACTGATATTTACTCCTCAAGAATCAGTGATACTGATTTCGTCATATGAAGGTGAGGAATTGTTCATATCATTGTTTTCTCATATAAGTCATTTGATGAATTGTATTTCTTCTTTGTTCATGCTTCGAATTATTTTTATACATGTTTTCTTCAGATATGGTCAAGAATAAAGGCTTCTTGCCATCAGGACCTTCAGAAATACATATACAAAGAAATCATATCAAGGATATCATTGATTCTTTGCTTCCTGCATGCCACAGTCATTACCCAGAGTCTAATGCAATATTTGAAGCAGAAGCGATAATTGCCAATCCTCCAGCATATGGTTAGATTTTACTTAAAATTTCATCATGTTATGTCTCATAAATTATGAACAACATTGAAGATAAGTATTTTTTTCATTATAATGAGAATGTAGTTCAAATATTTTATCAAGTAATTAGAGATTGCATACTAACAAAAAAGTTTAAGGATCTATATCCTCTAAAGTGCCATCTAAGTAGAGTGGTGATCTCACAGTTCATTATAATTTATAATTGTGCCTGTATTTCATTTGTTAGTCCATCAATGATTAATAATTCAACACTTCATAGATTAGAAGTACACCGTGCACTTTAGAGTATCACAATCTAAAGTTTAAATTATATTTGTCATTAGAAATCAAGAAGCAAGAGAAGTTTTAAATGACTAAAAAGCTTAGAGAGTGACCTGGGATACTTTTGTCTAGAACTATCAACTGAAAGTCTAATCATATAGAGGGGAAGAAATTTTAGTTTTTTTATGCTGACAGGCATGATGAACATTTTAGACTATATAAGAATCTCCTCCGTTTTATTGCTAAGTCCCAAAGATGGAAACTACTGATAGGCTAATCCCAAATAGAAACAAAGTTCACTAGCAGAGGAATATAATTACTATCTAGAAATCTTTCTGAGATTATTTACAGCTATTATGTATTAATAAAAAATATTTTATGTTTTTTAATGTATCTTTTGCAGGGCATACACATGTTGCTGAATATCTAAAAGTTCCACTTCACATATTCTTCACAATGCCATGGACGTAAGTCTTGTTTCATAACATGTGCTAATCCCACACTTAATTATCTATATGTCTGCTATGAGTTTTGTTATATGTGAATCAGGCATTGGCTTAGGAATTAAGATATTTGTCAGATGGCATTAGAAAAGTTAAGCAGATATTAGAGCATACTTTTGTACTTTTATTATGCAATATGATGATGTTATACAACATTTGGAGGCTTACTAGTGAATTCCCTCATCCTCTTTCCCGTGTTAAGCAACCAATTGGCTACAGAGTGAGTTTTACGGTCTGTCTGTATTGTTGAACATTCAAGGACTTGATGTTGCACTTGATGGACATGAAGATTGTTGATTTTGATGATGATTCAAGAACTCAAAGACTTAGAGTGTTGAAGACTTGTTTTGTATTGTAATAACTCTGTTTCAATTAGATTGAGTCTGTAATATTAGAGTTTAAGATAGCCGGTACATAGTCTGCACCTTAGAAGCTTCAAAAAGCTCAAATTTATCATCCAGGCTTGGCTTTAATCGATTAAATAGGGAAATAATTGATTAAAACAGTGAGAAAAACCATTTTCTGTATCTGCTCACTGGTTTAATCGATTAAACCACCTGTTAATCAATTAACAGGTGGTTTAATCGATTAACAGCCCTTTTAATCGATTAAAACAGTGAGTTTCAGGGTTCTATTGATTTTGGCTCTGTAATAATCGATTAACTCTTGATTTAATCGATTATTTCAGTCAAATTTCGAATTTTAACTTCAAATCAACCCTATTTTTCGAAAACCCTTTTCCCAAGAACCCTAATTCTGAAATTCCCAATTCCCAAACCCTAATTTCTCTACTTAAGCTTCTCTATGGCACTCAGAAAAGTAGAACAACCATTTTCATACAAAAGTTAAGTGTTGTAGTGCCAGAGAACTGTTTGTTGCAAGAAAAAGGGGCTTTCAGAACCTGGTGTGGGCTAGAAGCGATAAGAATCACTAAGTGGAGTTCTTAGTGGATTGTGTGTTGTGCCGTCTCTAGGGAAAGTTGTTCTTCATCTCTTGTGGATTTCAAGAGAGGTGTTTTCTTATCTTTATCTTTTCAATTGTAATCTGTTTGTAACAACTTGATTATAGTGACAGCATTAATCCTCTGTTTGAGTGATTAGCAACTGGACGTAGGGTCTTTTGATCCGAATCAGTATAAATTTACTGTGTAAGATTCTCTTCACTTCTCTATTTACATTTACACAGTTTTTAATCGGTAAAATTTGGGGAAAAATTTGAAAACCTAATTTTTATTAAGAAACCAATTCACCCCCCTCTTGGTTTTTGTCCAACCACGCGAACATTCCGTTGCGCGATTCTAACAAGTGGTATCAGAGCTTGCTTTGATAGTCATTCAAATTTTCAAAAATAGCCGGACAAAATCAAACTTTTGCCGAAGGTGCGTCTATCAACAGACCCCCACTTTTTGCGGGTCAAAATTATCCTTTTTAGAAGGTACGAATGCAAATCTTTTTAGAGTCTGTTGATAGAGGCGTTTGGGACGCTATTTTAAATGGTCCATTTGTTCCTAAAGTTACAGAGAACGGTGTTGACGTTCTTAAACCTTTTTCTAGATGGACTGCAGAAGAAAATAGAAAAGCACAATTTGATGTTAGGGCTAGAAATATAATTTCATCTGCTCTAACCCTTGACGAGTTTTACAGGATTTCTGTTTGTAAAAGTGCCCAGGAAATGTGGGAAATGCTTAGAGTGACCCACGAAGGTACTGACGACGTCAAGAGAGCACGTAAAAACTCCCTAATCCAAGAATACGAGATGTTCTGGATGCAACAAGGCGAAACGATATTTGACGTTCAAAAGCGTTTCACTCATATTGTGAATCATCTCATCGGATAAGGTAAAGTATTTGACGTTGATGAATTAAATGTTAAAATTTTGAAATCTTTGGATAGGAAGTGGCAACCTAAGGTGACGGCCATCTCGGAGTCACAAAATCTTTCCACAATGTCAATGGCGGCGCTATTCGGAAAGCTAAGAGAGCATGAGCTTGAGCTTGGTAGGCTAAATGATGAAGAAGGACAATTTCAAAAGAAAAATCTAGCCTTCAAAACCGAAATCTTCAAAGATAAAAATAAAAGGGAAGAAGAAGACTCAAACGATGAAGAAGAAGAGTTGAGTCTTATGATAAAGAAGTTTACCAAATTCATGAAAGCCAAAGGAAGACATCCCTTCAAAGGTAAAGGAAAGGTAAGGGAAAATTCTTCTATAAATATAAAATGTTATGGTTGTGGTGAAGCAGGACATGTAAAGACCGAATGTCCAAATAAGAAGAATGATGAATTCAAAGGCAAAAAGGTTTTCAAGAAGAAAGCCTATATTGCTTGGGACAACAGTGACCCAAGCTCGGAATCAAGTGACTCGGAAGTAGAAGCAAATATTTGCTTAATGGCAAATGACAACATTTCTTCCAATTTTGAGGTAAGTGATTCCGACACATCTTCTAGTGATGAGGAGAATAACTATGATGAATTGCAAAATGCTTATAATGAATTGTTTAGTGCTTTTAAGAATTTGAAAAATGAATATAAAGTTGTAAAGAAGAATCTAAGTAGATCCGAAAAGGAAATTGACTCTTTAAAAATGAAAATTGCATGTTTAGAAGAAAAAGAGTTATTAAATACGAAAATTGTATGTTTAGATGAGGATAATGATAAGAACATGGCATGTGCAAATTGTAAAGAGCATGAATATGATATATATATTCTTAACCATTTGTTAGACAAAGCTGAAAAGGAAATAGATGATCTTAAGAGGCATGAAATGGTGTTTGCTCAAAATAATGTAAATCATCAAGTTCCTTTGAAAAAGCCTAAAAGGAAAAATAAAAGAGTATGGGTAGAAAAAGGAACTAGAGCATCTATGATTAGAAATGCATCATTTTCAAATGCTACATCTAAAGCATGTTTTTATTGCATGAAACAAGGTCACACGTCAAATAGATGTAAAATTAAACATTTTGGTGTACCTAAAGGTAAATACGTTTGGGTTCCTATAGTTAAATAATTTGTTATATCTCTAACCCCAAGGACCCAAATGTTGTGGGGACCTAAGTTTACTATATTTTTGTTTTGTAGGAAACTTCCAAATCAAAGAAGTCTATGTGGTATCTTGATAGTGAATGCTCAAAACATATGACCGAAGATAAATCTAAATTTGTGAGTTTCAAAGCTAAGGAACAAGGATATGTAACTTATGGTGACAACAACAAAGGGAAGATTCTTGGAATTGGAAACATAGGTGGTGCAAACACTTTGGAGATTAAGGATGTGCTACTTGTTGATGGATTAAAGCACAATCTCCTTAGCACAAGTCAACTATGTGACAAAGGATTTAAGGTAATTTTTGAAAGTAAATTTTGCACCATACATTTGATAGATTCCGAAAATGTAGAATTAAAAGGCATTAGGCATAACAACATATATTTGATTGATTTAGATTGTTTACATGAGTCTAGCATAACATGTTTAGTTGCTAAGGAAGAGAACCCTTGGTTATGGCATAAGAGAGCTGCTCATATAAATATGCATCATTTGAATAAATTGATTTCAAAAGACTTAGTTATTAGTTTGCCTAGGTTAAAATTTGAAAAAGATAGATTGTGTGATGCATGCCAAAAGGGTAAACAAGTAAAATCATCATTTAAATCAAAGAATGTTATTTCCACTTCAAAACCCCTAAAATTATTACATTTAGATTTATTTGGACCTTCTAGGATAAAAAGCTTTGGTGGAAATTATTATGGTCTTGTGATTGTTGATGATTATTCTAGATATACATGGACATTTTTCCTAACTACGAAAAGTGAATCTTTTAAGGTCTTTAGAAAATTTGCAAAACAAATTCAAAATGAGAAAGACTTAAGAATTAAAGTTTTGAGAAGTGACCATGGTGGTGAGTTTCAAAATGAAAAGTTTGAAAGTTATTGTGAAGAAAATGGAATATTACATAACTTTTCTGCTCCTAGGACTCCCCAACAAAATGGTGTAGTTGAAAGGAAAAATAAGTCATTAGAGAAACTTGCTAGAACTATGTTAAATGAATCTAATGTTCCTAAATATTTTTGGGCTGATGCGCTTAGTACTGCATGTTATGTTTTAAATAGAATGCTCATTAGGTCAATTATTAAATCTACTCCTTATGAATTGTTTAATGGTAGAAAGTCTAATGTTGCTCATTTGAAAATTTTTGGATGTAAGTGCTTTGTGTTGAATAATGGAAAGGACAACT